TTGAAGCGGCCATGACGGTTCTCGTTGGCTAGCACTGTGGAAAGTGGAAGTTTACAGATTCGCCAAAATGATTGGGTGGGCACTATGGCACGTAGACTTCGCAACGCCATGAGCCAACTTGTGATCAATGAGAACAAGTCCCATCCACCGCAATTGCTGCAGAGCCTCTCTTGGCATCAAGGCGGCGGTAGCAAGGTCAAAAGACGCCCTGCGGCAGCGGTGCGCACGGAGAAGGAGAAGGCGCGCTACTTCTACGGGTGGAGCAATGGGGCCCAGCTCGCCTTTCGCTGCCGCGTTGGGCCCCCGCGGACTGAGGCCGAGCTTAGCGCACCCATTGACGCAAGTGGTGAGCCAGCCGACCCGCTGGTGGTGTCGTGGACGGATGGCGATCCATGGGAAGTCCCAGGCATGACGAACGGCAAGTGCACCGACTAGCAATCGAGCAAGGGCGCGCAGGGCTCCAGCGACCTTTGGTCTGGCCTGATGGTCACAACGAACCATGCCCTCGCAATCAGGCAGAGAACCGGTAGGTCCCTCCTACTTTCCCTGTACGAGAAGGGCAAACAAGTGCTCGCCGTCAAGCCAGGGTAGTGGGGCGAATTACCTGGGCCACACCCCTCCACAATGCCTCGCGATGATGCCAGTTTGGTGACGGCACTGGCCGTTCCATCACCGATGGCCGAACCCTACGCCAAGGGCGAGATCGCGGACCCGAACGAATTGAAACAAGATCGCAACAAGAAGTTGGCCGACATGGGAGTAGCAGGAAGAGCGGTGCTTCGCCGCCCTGGCGCATCAGTGAAGAGGAAGCCTGCGATACATCGCAAGCCCGTGCAGCGGAGCCACCCGCTGATTCGAGAGATAGCGTCGCAGTGGTCGAGGAGCAGCTCAGCATGATGGACGGCCCCACCGATGGCGACGGCCTGGACGACGCCGTGATGCCCGACAGCAGCACGACCACCACGATCAAGAAAAGGCCGAGCCGCAACTCGAACCTTACCACGCCCACTGCGTCCGACCACAAAGACGCGACAGGCATACCTGGGGGTGCAAACCAAACGAAAACGTGGGCGAGGGAGAACGGCTCCGTAAATGTCAGAATGAGTAGTCGGAGTAGGAGTAGGAGTCAAGCTAGCCAGCTCGAGCGAGTCAAGCATGGCATGCCCAGTCCCACCCGCCCTCCCACAACATAAGAAGCAAAGCTGGCACAACTGGGGGCCGAAGTCACACCGGCCAGCCGGTTTGGTACAGCTGATGCGGCCGCGATGGCGGTTGCCGACGGGAACTGGCGAGCGCGTGTTGAATGCCGCGCACGCATTGCCAGACGAGTCGAGAATGGCCCGGTACACCGCAGGAAGCCAGAGGTGGCCGGAGGAAGCCCGACGGTCTTTCCACATGTCACCCCTTCGCGCGGGGTGTGCGCCGCGTCCCACTCCTGCCACGCATTTTGCGACGTGACGACAGCACGACCATGTTGACAAGAAAAACAAAAACTGTGTATTGTCTTTTGCAGATTAGAATGGGACGGATTGGATGGGCGGGCGCGGGGTGTGCGCCGCGTCCCATTCCTGCCATGCATTTTTTGCGACGTGGACGACAGGACGTCCCTGCGACGGTGCCAATGACGGCGACGAGTCTAGAAGGATTTGAGCATGCGCTCGCGGCGACGCGCGCGCATGTCGCCCGCGTGGTATTTTTTGCACAGGATTCGCGGCCTGGGTGCATGACAGAGCATCGCGAGTGCACCGCGCGATGACGTGAAATCGCTGGATTTGACCGAATTCTTAAGATTCCTATGGTTTTCCTATGATTTCAGCAAGAGAGCCCGGGCAAATTTGTACAATTTTTGTGAAAAAACATTGGGTTTTTGATGTTTTTATGTTGAAATGCTTGCAAACACACGGTGTTCGGTAGGATTCTGACATGAACGCGCGCGTGTGCTCTTTGTGGTATTTTTTGCAATGGATTATCGCCGTGGACGACAGGACGTCCATGTCGAGAGGAAAAAATAAGAAAAATGTTGATTTTGTATTGTTTTTTACAGGTTAGGATGGGACCACCCGGATGTGGCCCCTATCTGCCGGCCTGAGGGGGGAGTAGGAGTATATTCTAATAAGGAATAAGGATAGGAGACGGAGAATAGGTCGGAGCAGGGTAAGGAGAAGGATCGATAGCAGGAAAACACGTATGAGCAGGCGTGGGAGTAGGAGGGGTAGGAGTAAGAGCAGGAGCATGGGTAAATTGAGCAGCAATGGGAGTCGGTGGAGGAGTAGCGGCACGAGGAAAGGGTACGCAGTAGGACTAGGACGAGTAAAAATAAAAGGGAGTAAGAAAAAGCGTAGGAATACGAGCAAACGGAATATGATGATCATGAGTAGGACCCGTAAAGGTGGGAGTGGGATGAGTGCAAGTAGAAGCGGCCATCCTCCTTCCCCCATCATCCCTCCTCCCTCCTTTCTCCTCGCTCCCCCCCTCCTCTGGAACCCCCTCTCGCCTCCTCCCCTCCCTTCCAACTGCGCCCCATTCGTGTCCATCCCAGTGCTCCGCGTACGCAGGAGATGAAGAGGAAGTTCTGGCCCCCGAGCATCTTGGAGGACATTCCGAAAACATTCGATGAGGAGCTCGCTGAGATCGACTCGGGCGCCGAATCGGATTAGGAATGCGTCCGTGCAGAGAGAGGCTTTGACCCGATGCGGGCTAGACGAGGACGAGGAGGAGGACGAAGAGGAAGGGGATGTTTCAGGGGCGGGGGAGGACGGAGAAGCGGGATGGAGAGGATGAGGAGGAGGAGGAGGAGGAGGAGTTTGATCTTTCGTGACCTGAGTTGTTACCTCTTGGGCCGTCTGATTGAGAAAGCGGCCTTCGAATGACGTCCGTTCTCACCTCCACGTCCTCATCCTTTCTTCCTCCCCCTTCCACCTCCATACGTCCTCCGCTGCTTTGTACGTGTACGGGGATCCGAAGCTCGCCTTCGGGTTCGGCCGCTCGAGTCTGGTGCGCTTTGATGTCCGAATGCTGTTTTGACCCCCCCCCTGAGGGCCATTAGGGGGAGGATTCCGCAACCTTGATATCCACCTCCTCATCATCATTCCTGCTACTGCTGCTGCTGCTCCTCCTCTTCAACCTCCTCGAAGCCATCGCCGTTTCGGCTCGAGTATTCTTGGCAGCTTCTCTGCCGCTCGATGCGTTGGTTCGCCGCCATGTCGGGTTGCGGCGGCGCCGCCAGCAAGCGGCGCCCAGAACCCGCGGGCGCACTAGCCAGCGCACCGAAGCGCGCTCGCGCAACCCAAAAGAAGCCTGCCGCTAGCATTCAACCTGCTCCGCAGGCTACGTCCTGGGCACCTATTTCACCTCGCCCCCTGGCAAGGCGAACTCGGAGCAGCGACGCACCGGCTGCTGGCGCCGATCCTCTGGCCGTGGTAAAGGTCGAGCTTGGGGTAAAGTCGGAGGTCGAGGAAGCGCCTGAAACCCAGAGCTTCGACACGTCGAAGAAGTCAGAGGAAGCGCCCGAAGGTCGACACCCCCATTTGGTGGAGGAGGTCGGGGCCGCTGCTGAGACCATGGCGCGCGCCTCTGGAGGCAGCGCGCCTCAGGGCCAGGAGCAGTCGACCATCGAGGCGGCAGCTCCAGTCTTCGGCAACGGCCACGCGAAGCACCCGAGCCTCCAGCGTGGTTCAACAAGCTGTTGGAGATCAAGGTGTCCGAGAACAACATCTCCAACCTCAATGCGTTCTTGAACACCATCACCCGCGATGGGAGTGCTAGTTAAGTGCCCGACGATAAGGATGGTGATCTAGTTTTTGTTGCGACAGCTGGTGCAACTGGTGAATTCGACGTGCCCTCCGCGGTGGGGAGTTTCTCCTACCGCGATCACCAGCCAGGCAGCAACAACCATAAAAAATACAAAGACCTCAAGAAGCACAGCGCCAAGGAGCAGTACAGGAAGGACTGGGTGAAGAAGTTCTACGCCGACAGGGTCGTCGATAAAACATTCAGCAAGGACTAGAGGCCCCCGACATCGTCCCAAGAGCGCCCAAGAGGCCTCCAAGATGGCGCTATGACAGCCCAAGAGGCCCCCAAGAGGGCCCCAAGAAGATGAGCTCGCAGGACTGACGTGGGGCTGGGAGGGGACTCGCGCCGATCGTCCGCGAAGCAGGGAGGCGCAAGTGCTCTCGAAGTCACCCCCCTCCACGCAGCGCCACTTGCGCACATAATTTTGTTTCTCGGATCCCATCTGGGAGGCCTAGAACGTCCGCCCCGGCAGGGGCACGGCGAGCGGGAAGGGGGGGATGGGGGACGGGCACGGGGCCCCCCTCTCTGTACGTGCTCCTTGTCCGTCGCCGTTGCTCCCTCACGCTGCCCCCCGCTCTTCGCCATCTTCGGGTGCTCCCTGGCATGCGGGGAAATCGGGCGCGGCCTAATCAACCCCTAGCGGACCATCCCCTTCCGTGGCCTCATCCTCGCCGTTCAAGGTCCCCTCCCGCAGCATACATACGTATTGGGGCGAGACGGTCACGGAAGGGGATGGTTTGCTAGGGGTCGGTCAGGCCGCCCCTGAGTGAACGGGGTCCTCGCCTCCAGATGACGACCGATCGGCGAAACGCGAACAAGGGTCCTCGTGGGCAAGGGCCCTGGGCACCAAGACTTCCCCCCAAGGAAAGACTTCTCACCCTGGCTCTTTTGCTGTTGGTCCCCAGGGCCCAGGAAGGACCCTGGGAGCCCGGAAACGGGGAACGAGCTCCATGAATGACTCCTTTCTTCCAGTCTTGAGAGCCGCCGGCGTTGTGAAAAAATTGCAACATCACGAAGAATAATGACTCGAGCCCTAGACCTTATCATTCTGATGTATTTTTCGAACCAGATCCATCTGTGATGGTCCCAGGGCCCGAGACTGGGCGAGAGCGCCCGACGCGAAAAAAATGCAACCCCCGGGTCTCAAGGAGGACCCCTTCTCTTCATGACGAGCTCCCCTCCCCTGAGCGTGGTCGCTCGTGCCAATCCTCCAGCTTCTCGGGGGCGTGGTCGCCCAGGCCGCTGGCGCGGGCGGCCAGCGCGTCGCGGAAGCGCTGGACCGCCTGTCGGAAGGGAGGGCGCTCCATCCTCGGGGGCGTCCCAGAGGGGGGCGTCCAAAAGGGGAGTTCGCAAATCATGGCCCGAAGCACGTGCGCGGCCCAGGGTGGGCCAAGGGGCGCATTGAAATAAGAAGAGAAGCGATGAAATTCAGAAAGATCACGGACCCAACCATGATACCCTCCCTAATCATCGCCCTCCTCTCGGCCGCCCCCAGCCATCCCCTCGCCGCCCACCTCAGCCACGAGGAAGGAACTCGCAATGGTAAAGTTTGCCCACGGAAGAGGATCGAGGATTTTGGACGCTTTGGGCACTGCCCCTCCCGCTCCTCTTCCTCCTCCTCCTCCTCCTCCTCCTCCTCCTGCCCCTCTTCTTCCTCCTCGCCTTGCCCACCTGTTTCGTGAGAGGACGACCCCACCAAAATACCGACAACGACACCTCACTGCTGTTACCACCGCTGCTGACCTACTACCGTCACTGCTGCTACCACCGCTGTTGACCTTACTACCGCCACTGCTGCTACCAGGCGCTATCGTTGATGCTTGTATTACTGTTCAGACGACTTCTGTTACTGCTCGCTGCATGTCACTGCTGCTGCTATAGTTGTTGCCTCCGCTGGTGTTACAGATGTTGCTGTTGCTGTGTCGCTGCTACTTCTACTGCCGAATTTTCGTGCGCCGCGCTACAGTCGCTGCTGCCTCTGCTGGCAAACCTGCTGTGCTGCTGCGGCTGCTGCTGCTGCATCTGATGTTGCTGTTGCAAGCGCAGCCACAACCAACACCAGTGCAGCAGGGCTGCCCCTACCATGTGTGCATAACGAGTCTGGTAGGCAGGAGGTAAGGAAGGATGGTGGGGGCTCTGCGCCGCGGCCGCGCGCGACCGAACAATTGATCCCAGCGTGGACCCCAAACAACGACTTGGTGCAGCCTGTGTTGCAATACCGAGCAACGCAATGCGATGCGGCAACACCACGTGATGCAACGCAATGCGGCAGAGCAATGCAGAGCAATGCAAAACAACGCAACACGACTCAATCAATGCAGAACAATGCAAAGTCAGCCGATCCCTTGTAGCTTTTAGGTCCCCAGCAAGTGAAATGCTTCCCAACGGGATCCCCCCCCGAAGGACCCCAAACCGCGCGTTTGACCCCCCCCTGCCCCGTGACAATTCCCGTGTGAACTCACCAGGGGGCTCCAGCCCCGAGAGGGAGAACAGACTGACATGTCGAGCTTTCCCCCTCTAGAAAATTCGCAGGGCCCCAGTATGCCTCCCAAAAATTCCCAAGCGGCCCAAAAGAGGCTCCATGAGGCCTGAAAAAACCCCACAGAGGACCAGACGTGGCACCAACAAGGGTCACCCCATTAAGCCCCAAGAGACCCCTAAGAAATTTTACAATTGCATCCAATAAGCCCCCGGCAGGTCCCCCAACATACCTTTATGAGAGTGAAGGAGCCGAACGGTCATTCATCGTCCCTGGGTGTGTGGCTGAAGTGGGGTTCCGCGGTTCGGATTGTTGTTGCGTTGTCGTCGAACTCTGATTTCTGAAGATTGCACAATTATTGCTGATCCCCCCTGCCAGGTGACCATTATGTTCCCCAAACAATGTTTGTACTTACGGGTTCTTACTTGGGTTAACCATCTCGGGTGAATGGCGGCCTTTGCGGGCGGTGCCGCCCGTCGCCGCCGTCGCCGTCCCCGTCGCCTCCGCTCGGGGCGAGTGGCGGGTTTTGGCGGGCGGTGCCGCCCGTCGCCGCCGTCGCCGTCGCCGCCGATCAGGGCGAGTGGCGGCTTTCGCGGGCGGTACCGCCCGTCGCCGTCGTCACCATCGCATATATTCTCCTTTCGAACAAGAAAATACATAGACTCTCCTACCCCTCCCCCCCAGGACTATCGGCCCCCCTTTCCGCACTGCGATTTAAACCTGATTCTGCCCCATCGTCCATCACAAATATGAACTCGTACCATCCCAGGTACGCCGGTACCCGCCCCCCCCGTCATCCTTTGCAAGACATATGCGCGCACACACGTTTATCAACAACCATAAGTATTCAAAAATCTCTTGCAACAGAATATGACGAAGTGCACACGCGCGCGTCGTCGCGCGTGCAATCCGAAATCCTAAAACAACTTTCGGGTTCGTAGGGGTTTCCAAATCGAGTGCCCCAAAAACATGCTAAAAAACGCATGGTTGCGCAACACGGATTTTCAAAACAAGCTTGCGCGCGCTCTTGCGAATTCTAAAACAAAACGTAGACTTTCAACATTCTTATATAAAAAACAGATTTCGCGCGCGCATGTCGGAATGGTTCGAACGCCCTTGCGCGCGTGCCGTTGCGAGAAACCTTTCTGTAAAACATGAAGCGAAGTGCACGCGCGCGCGTCGTCACGCCCGCATGCCGGAATCCGCCCAAAACCTTGGGTTCCGTAGCGATGTCAGAACCGAGTGTCCAAAACGCATCCAAAAACACATGGTTCCGCAACGTCAGGTTTCCAAACAGCGTGCGCTCGCGCTGTTGCGAATTCTTGAGAAAACCATCGGTTGTTCAACAATTCCATAACATGCTAACAAACGGGCCTCTGGCGCCGCATGCCGACATCATTCGCTCGCCCGCGTGCGCGTGCGCGGAGGGCACGAACCGTATCAAAGAACACCATGCGGGCCACTCTCGCGCATCGGCCGCGCGCGCATGTCGAACTATTTCCAAAACCTTCATCACCGGCGCGAGGACGCCGTCATCGTCGTCGGCGTGATCAACATCGGCGCCCGCACTGGCAGCGTCGTCGTCGTTGTCGACGTCGTCACCAACATCGCTACTATCATCGTGTCTACCGTTGTCGGCGCTGCCATGATACCTTGCCCGCCAAAGTCGCCGACTCGCAGTGAAGTGCCCGCTGGGATGCGCCCGGCGGTCAGCGCCACCGCGGCCGCATCGGTCCCGCCAAGCTAGCTGGCCGCTGCGCGCGCGCTTGGGTTGGCGCGGCCGCAGAGGTGAACCAGCCAACGTCAAGCACTCATCGCAATCGCCGCCGCGTGGATTTTTGCAAATCAAATTGCGGGCAGGCGGGTGGGATGATTGCGCGAGCAGTGGAAGTGGTCCAGCGCGGCACAAGGCAATCCATTTCTCCCCAACAAATATTTAAAGAGATAGACTCTGCCCTCCCCTCCGGATTATCGCCCCCCCTTTTCGCATTGCAATTTACATGTGATTCTGCCCCGTCGTCCATCACAAATATGAGCTCGTACCATCCCAGGCAGGCCCGAATCCGCCCCCCCGCCATCCATTCCAACACGTACTATGCGCGCGCACTCGTTTAGCAAAAATCATAAAATTTTCAAAAAAGTCCCTGCCCCCCCAACAAAAAAAACGAAGTGCACGCCCCCCGCCGGATATTTCCTCACACTTTATTCCCACATCGCGCTCTCGTGCGGAACATCCTCACAATGCATGCAAGAACCGCGCTTTCGCGTGGGGCGCCCTCACAATTTATTCAGACGCCGTGCCCTCGACACTCAGGAATCACGCTCTCTCTTTGGCCTTTCTCATGATTTACTTGGGAATCGCGCTATCGCTCGGGACTTCTTCGCGATTCACTCAAAACGCACGCTTCAGCAACCCGCCTGCTCGACCTGGTCGCACGGGCTCGCCTTCCCGATTCGCCCGCTAATGTCTGCCGGCCCAATTTGCCCGTCTGGTTCTGCTACGTGTTTTCTGTTCCTAGACCCCCTCCTGTTACTCTCTATCTCTTTTTTTTTGTTCTCTCTCTCTCTCTCTTTCGTGTTCCATCCTCCTCCCTCCCCTGTGCTCCTTTCTTCCATCCGTCCTCTCTGCCCTTGCCGTAGGGGCTGCATGACAGACGCAATGGAAATAAGAAAGATCGACCCCAATGGGGTACGATCGAAGACGAAGAGGGCGGGTGTCGAGGATTTGGGATATCCGTGTGGACTGGCACGCGAGCAGATAAAAACGAGCAGTATGAAAATTATTGCAGTGGTTGTTGATGCGGCCGTTGTTGTTGAAATTTCTTTTCTAAGCAATAACTATTGTTGATCCCCCCTCCGGTGACCACTGTGTGTTTTCAATTGAAGTGCCCCCCCTCGGGGCTCGCACCCTAATGTTTCCCAACCTTCCTGCGTAAGGTATTAGTGTTGAATAGAGCATTGCGTGCGCGTCTTCTCCGCCTCCCGCCTCCCTCTTCCTTTCCTCTTCTCTCCTGCTTCGCACTTCGTTCACTCCTACGTGCAAGCTGGCGTCCTACCTGGCCATCCTTGGGGGGCAGTGATTTGCGAAGCTGTCGCCACTTTCGAAAGCTGTTGGGGGTCCAGCGGAGCGACGACCTACCCAAGCCATCCCCGGGGGGGCTGCGATCTGCGAAACTGTCGGCACTCTCGAGGGCTGCTGGGGGGCCAGCGGGGTGACGTCTTACCCAAAGTCCCAAGAGACCTCGCCATCCCTGTACGGGCTGCGATCTGCGAAACTGTCGCTTCTTTCGAGGGCTGCTACGGGGTCCAGCGGAACGACGACCTGCCCAAACTCAAATGACACCTCGCCGTCCCTGGGGGGCTGCGACCTGCGAAACTGTCGGCACTCTCGAGGGCTGCTGGGGGGTCCAGCGGAGTGACGTATTACCCAAATTCACATGACACCTCGCCACCCCTGTGGGTCTGCGATCTGCGAAACGATCGCCACTTTCGAAAGCTGCAGGGGGGGGGTCGAGCGGAGCGACGTCTTTCCAAGACCAGGTGACACCTCGTCATCCCTCTGGGGGGAGGGGGGGGGGGGGGGCGATTGCGAAACTGTCGTCACTTTCGAGGGATGCTGGGGGTCCAGCGGTGCGACGTCTTACCCAGGTTCAGAAGAGACCTCGCCTTCCCTGTAGGGGCTGCGATTTGCGAAACGTTCGCCGCTTTCGGGGGCTGCTGGGAGTCCCAACGGAGCGACGTCTTACCCAACGTCTTACCCAGACTCAAATGAGACCTCGCCATTCTTGGGGGGTTGCGATCTGCGAAACTGCCGCCACTTTCGAAGGCGGCTGTGGGGTCCAGCGGAGTGACGTCTTACGCGGACCACCAGGAGACCTCGCCATCTCTGGGGGCTGCGAAGCTGGCGGGCGAGCCAGGCCTCGCTCGTGTCTTGCACTGACTATAAGCAGGCTGAACCATTTGTTCGAGCGCCGCGGCGACATGGCGCAGGCAGCGTTGCATCTCCAGCGTGCTACCGACAAAGGCAACACTCGTCGGTTTCCTCCTGGCACTTTCGACGTTATCCTCTGCCCCGTGTCACCTTCCTTCTGCTGCTGCCGCGCTGACAGTTCCCTCCCCCGCCCCACGCGCGTCCTTTTCCGTCCCTTCGTTCCCGCCTCCATGTTCTCCTCGACCTTGGGCCCCCGCTCCTCGTCCTGCCTCTGTTGCCCTGTGGATCGCGCCACGTACGCACGTACGTTCGTACATACATACATGCATGCAGACATGCATACATGCAAACCTGCATACATGCATACATGCATACCTGCATACATACATACGTACATATCATGCGTACATACATACATACACACATACATACATACATACATACATACATACATATGTGCGTACGCACGTACACGCATACCTACACACGGACATATATATACACATATCTACATGCGTACAAACATACGCACAAACATATATATGTACATATATATATATGTATACATGCATACCTACAAACATACATCATACATACATGCATACGTACGTGCGTGCGTACGTACATACATACAAGCATACATGCATACATACATACATACATGTGTGCATACATGCATCCACACATACTTACATACGTATGTGCGTACATGCATACATACATGCATGCATCTATACATTTTTCTGAAGGCGCAAAGCGGACATTCCTGGCAGCAACGGCCAGCCCCAGCCACGAGTAGGTCCCCGATCCCAGAGCTAAGGAGCGACAAAGAAACCAGAGACCGTCCTCAGCCCAATGTCGCCTTTATGTCCGCGTCCTGACTGAATCGCCTGCAGCAGCGGTTCAGAAACCGCCGTACCACACGTTCCTCATCGACGGCCTAATCGTCAACGACAGTTCAACGAGCTCGTCATGGCTGCATCCTTTAACGCACTTAGAAGATGCCCAGCCCGCGGGAGGTCGGAAGGTAGGACATGTGAGAGACTCCCACGCGGGAGCCGTTGTCGCTGCAGCCAGCCGAAAGAGAGGACGGGCGTGAACGTCGTGGGGCACACGTCGATTCAGAAAATGCCGGGGGGCACACGTTGATCGATCGATCGAGCACGGGGCATCCTCAACCGAAAGAGAGAGAGAGAGAGAGAACGGACGCGAACGCTGTAGGGCACACGTCGATCGAGAGGAGACCCGGAGGCTCCGAGCACGGGGGCCAGCACCTGCTGTGCGCTTCCGAGAAGGCCCCGCACAGACATCCACAACTGACTGTCGGCACAGCGAGCACCTTCGACGCCCTGTCGCGTTGGTATCACGCCACACTTTGGTCAGCGGCGGCTTGGGTCCAAGACGCGGTCGGGGCAGCCAAGGGACACATCGGGGCGAAATTGGCTGCAGCAGGAGGACAGGGTGCGGAGAGGGGTGCGGAGACAGCGGGCGGAGGAGCACGCTCAGACGGTGAACATCTTCCACGTGTGATAGCACACGCCGCGCATGCGTGGGCGTGAGCGTGAACAGTGCGTGGACATGCGGCCGCTTCGCTACCGCAGGTGTGCACGCACAAAGACAATAGGCTTCGGGGGGAAAAACGTGGTCCGAAGAACGGTCTGCAGAAAGCTTGCGGGGTCTCCTCGGGGCCTCTGCGGGAACGTTTGGGTTGGCCCGCGACAGGTCATGCGGGAAGCTGGCGGGGCCCAGAACCAGAGTTTGTGAGAATGGCCCTGCAGGAGCCCCGCCCGACACAGCACGAGAACGTGCATCAAGAGCACGACCTACCCAACAGCGGCTGCGGTCGGTTTTGGACAACACTCGTGGTTGAGCATCGTGCCCATATGCTCCGTGCCCGCATCGGGCGCCGCAGAAAAGCAGCGCGGCATGCGTAGGTGGAAGTCCCAAATATGAAGAACATGAGGGGCGCCCCTCCGAAAATGGTACAGTGGAGGCTAGTCCACAAGAAACCTTCCACAAGAAACCCAACCCTGAGACCCCAGGACGCCCATTGATTTCTGGCGTGAGAACGTCGCGCTCTCCATCGCAAAATCATCAAAACCCAGGAAACCCAGGGCATGCCGGAGGCAAGCGGGGTGCTTCTTGGCATGGGTCTCCACTGTACTGTGTCTTGTCCTCGTGCCAACTGCAAGGGGAACCTCGGGGGGGGGGGGGGATGTCGAGCTGGACTCGGTGCTACATCGCCAGCGGATCGGCGACAGGCCCCAGATGGCGCGCAGCCGCACGTTCCAGGCGGGGTGGGCTCTCGGGCCCCGATGGAGTGGGCAAGTGGGCTTAGGAGGCAACTGCTGGGAGGTTCTCGTCGGAAAGACCAAGGGGGATTAATAGCCCGATTTGGGAGCTGTTACGCCAGAATGGGCCCCGGATCAAGCGGGATTCAGCCGGATGAAGCGGGATTCGGCGGGATCAAGCCGGATGAATTGGGATTTGGCGGGATTAAGCCGGATTCAGCGGGATTTCGGACCAGGGCAAAATCAGAATTTGACCTCCCAGGAGTCACATCCGAAGTGGGGGGTCCCAGTGCGTCCCCTCCTGCCCGTCCCCATCCGCGCTGGTTTGCGGACCACCGCTTGGGCCTCCGGCGGCCGTGCGTCACGCTCCGGGCACCCCTGGGAGCGCTCCCAGCGAGGCGCAGCTGCCGGAGAGCATCCCGAGGCCGGACAACCGGCGAGAAGCGACGAAAAAGCCAGAACGACCCCGACGTTCCCCCACGAGCCCAGTGCCCCGCTGCCGTTGCCCCCCGACAGCTGTGCCCTTGCCCCTCCGTGCCCTCCGCCAGACGGCCGCAGCCGCCGCCTCCGGCGACACCACGGAGCCGGGCGGCAGCTCTTCTGGCGAGCCTGCCCGGGTCGTCGGAGGACTGGGCCGCGGAGGGGCAGCGTGAGAGCAGACAGCAGGTGCCCACGGACGTGTCCAGTCTTTGCCAACGTCGCGCTCCTTCACTGCAAAGGCGAAGACCCTTCGCTCACTTAGCGTGTCGCAGCGGCGGCCCCGGCGACAAGCTGTGCCCTGCGGGCGGATGGCGCGTCGCTCCGCGCGGCGGGGGGCTGGAAGATGCTCGGGACGTTGCCGCCTGGGAACTCGGACGTAGTGAGCGTTTCACGCCGAGGCGTGTTGGGCCCGAACTGGCGGCGCGACAGGAAAAGTAGACGTTCCCGACCGTAGCCTCTCTGCCACGCACACAGAAAGAAAGGCGGCGCACTCCTCTTTCCTAAAGCAAGTGAGCCAAGTTCGTCGAGCAGTCGCGGCTGGCTGAGATGACCCCGTGCAGGACGGCCCAGGCCGCGACGGGCCCGAGTCGCGAGCCTCGTGGAGGGAAGGGTGACTTGGGCCCATTCGGCCACGGTCAGCCGTGGAGGCTAAAGGAACGCATCGAGACGAGCGAGGGGGAGAAAGACAGAGGTGGAGGAAAGAAGGGAGCCAACGGCTCATGTCGACGAGCAAAGAGCACCGACGGCGAGCAGTACCCCGTTGGGCCGGCGCGTGGCGCCATCCTGCTGACCCTTCAGGGGCGGAGGAAGTTGGCGGCGGCCCCACGCCTGGTAGTACCCAGGAGGGGCGAGGCCGCGTTGGGCCTGCGGGTGACAACACTCCGCACGACCCCCAGGGGATAGTGGGAAGCACGGGTCGGCGGGAGGACGGAGGAGGGGGATGGGGAAGGAGGATGTGTAGGAGGCAGCGAGCATGCCAGAGAGGATGTGCAGAAGGCGAAGACATGGACTAAACGCGTCATGGGGCCGTCGCAACACTTGTTAGGACCATTGCGACGAGGGCGCCACATAACACCTACAGGAATACGGGAGTTTACTACTACTGATCCTCCTGGCAGACAGATAACCCTTTTTCGTCCTCTTTACCCTTTATCCTTCTCTCTCACCGCCTTCCTTACCCTCGCCATCACCATGGCCTTCGCCCGCAACCTCATCCCCATTCTTATCTATGTCTGCAGATCCATCCTCCATCGCCCCGCGCCTTTCCCCTCAACCCTCACTCTCACCCTGGCCGTCACCCAATCCTTGTCCTCACCGCCAACGTCATCCTCGCCCTCGCCGGCACCAATACCCGCATCGCCATCCATGTCTGGTCTGCACGAGCAGCCTCCGCCACCCTCCGCCTCCCCTTCGCTTTCACCACCACCGTCGCCCCTCCTTAACCTCGCCCTCGCCTTCACAAACGCTCTCGTACCCAATACTTGTGCCCTTCCATGCGCCTAGCCCCCCATTATCCCCCTCCCATCATGCTCCTCATTGGTGACAGTCCCTTCCCTCCACTAGTACATCGCACTCCTGCCATAGGAGAGTGCCAACTGCACTCTGCAGCAAGCACACACGTTTCTCCAGGGATTGCGGGGTGGGATCAACATGACCCCAGTAAAGCACCCTCATAGTAGCAAATGTGACGAGGCTGGTCAAGCTGAAGGAGGTCGGCGAATGATCATGTGCATTCCTATTTATGCCGAGGGATTCCCAGGCGTGACAAAGGTGAGAGCACGGCCATTTGCACCGTAGTCGATGGTTTACCAAGGATCGTGTCCATGACAAGGGTGAGGGTTCGGCCATGTGTCCCATATTAAAAACTTGGCGAGTGATGTGCACCATCGTGCTTATTACAAGAGATCGCGGCCGTGTGACAAGAGTGGGACCACGGCCATGTGCACCATAACGCATGCTTTGCACGGGATCGCGGCCGTGTGACAGGGGTGAGAGCACGGCCATGCGCACCGTAGTTGATTATGTACAAAGGGTCGTGGCCGTGTGCCAGGGGTGAGAGCACGGCCATGTGCACAGCAGCGCATGCTTTAAAAAGGATCGTGGCCGTGCGGCAAAGGTCAGAGCACGACCATGCGCTCCACATTGCATGTTTTACGAAGGATCGTGGCCGTGTGAAAAAAGGAGATCACGGCCATGTGCACCGTATCTGATGTTTTACAAGGGATCGTGGCCGTGTGACAGGGGTGAGAGCACGGCCATGTGCACCGCAGCGTATGTTTTACGATGGACCGTGGCCGTGCGACAGGGGTGAGAGCACGGCCATATGCACCGTAGTCTATGGCTTACAAGGGATCGTGGACAAGGGTGAGAGCACGGCCATGTGCACCGTCGTGTTTTTGTTACAAAGGATCGTGGACCGGGGTGAGAGCACGACCATGTGCACCGTAGTGTATGCTTTACGAAGGATCGTGGCCGTGTGACAAGGGTGGGAGCACGGCCATGCGCACCGCAGTGCATTTTCTCCAAACCTTTGGAGAAACAGCGCCTCGCGTCCTCACCTGCCGCTGACCCTCCTCCTCCTGATCCTCCCGACTCTGCTTCCCGAATCACATTCCTCACACTTTTCGTGGCCCCAAAGAGCGGCCCAACTGAGGCCCAAAGGCCAGGATTCGTATTGCGACGCCGCCTCCAATTCGGCACACCTCTCACACGTTTCGTGGCTCCATGGATAGCTCCAACCAAAGCCCAATGCCAGGGCTCACATGGTGCCGCCTCATTTTGGCACACCCCTCGCACGCTACGTGGCCGCATAGGGAGCTCCACCGAAGGCCCCAGTGACAAGGCTCGCATGGCGGCGCCGCCTCCCTTCCTGCACAGCCCTCACACGCTCCGCGCCCCCACAGGGAGCTCCACCGAAAGCCCCAGACACAGGGTTCGCATGGCGGCGCCGCGCCCACTTCGGCACACCACCCACACGTCTCGTGGCCCCACAAAGAGCTACACAAAACGCCTCAGCGGCAAGGTTCGCACGGCGGCGCCGGCCCATGTCTGCACAGCCCTCACACGTCTCGTGCCCACACTGGGCCCCACAGAAGGCATCCAATGGTAGGGTTCGCATGGCAGCCACAACCCTCTCACACTTCTTGGCCCCAGGAGCTCCACCAACGGCGCCAGTGCCAGCGCCCGCATGCCGGCAACTTACCATTTTGGCACACCGCTCACACGCGCCCCTTCCCTAGTCCTACCTGCAACGTGCGGTATTCACGACTGCAAACAGTTGGGTCCGCCACATGGCTAGTTTAGAAAGAATCGTGACCTTGTGACAGTGGTGAGATCACAGCCATGCGCGCCGTAGTTTTTTACCCAAGGTCGTGGCCGTCCAAACCACACATGTCGCCGACATTGCGGCGAAAGCACGATCCCTAAAAAAAATCGCGAGCAAGTCTTAAGAGAAACGGCTGCTGGCACCGTCGTTCTCGGGCTGTCCATCCACACTGTGGCACTCGCCTGCGATCCTTATTACTAGCCCGCCACTCTGCGGTTGATCGGGAGTTTCTGTATATAGAAGGAGGGACGCGCGCTTCTCGGCGAGATGAAAATCATCGAGATGAGAATGAGCGCGAGGATCAGGAGGGCGAGGCCCGCGAGGGGGAGGATCAGGAGAGTGAGGGTCACGCGGGCGAGAGAATCAGGCGAGCGTGGAGCAGGAGGGTGAGGATGTGGACGAGGGCCAGGAGAGCGAGGATGGCGAGAATGAAAATGAGGAGGGTGAGGATCGGGCGGGCGTGGCGCCCCCCGCTGCCATGCTGGCAATCTCCTCTTCCTCCTCCTCCTCTTCCTCTTCCTCCTCTGCCTCCTCCAACTCGACTCCTCCTCCTCCACCTCGTCCTCCTCCTCCTCCCTCTCCTCCTTTTCCTTTTCATCCTTCTCCTCCCCCCTGGGGATTTCACGGACGTTGCCCGAAACGGAACAGGGGGCCTCTGAGGCTCTGAAGGCCCCCTTGGGGAAGCTCAGGGTGCCGCTTGTCTGAAGATGTCCCACGCGAGGGCGCCGGCTTTGAATTCTTCGCCAAATTTCCTTGACCTCGCTGGATTTACCGATGTCGCCGGAAACAGAGGAAGCTCAAGGTGCCGCTTTTTCTGAGGAAGTCCCACGCGAGGGCACCAGTAGTTTGGAATTCGTCGACGGATTCGCGGGATTTCCGGGACCTCACCGGAAACGTAACAGGAGGGCCTCTGAGAGCTTCCTTGGGGAGGCTCCAGGGAACGGTTTTTCTGAAGATGTCCCACGCGAGGGCGCCAATCCGCCGGCCCCCTTGTGGGGCCACCAGGCTGTAGGACGAAGGTTCGCAGTTTCCTGTGCCAGTTGCAGCTTCCAGTTTCCACTGTTACAGTTCTGCTTGCTGCTTACTGTTCCTTGTTACAATTCTGCTTCTTGCTGCTGACTGTTCCTTGTTGATGGACCGCGCGAGGGGGGGAGGCCCAAAACGGGCATTTGTACCACGCCCTGGGCGTGTTATATGAATTGCTGGGGTGGGTAAAAAAATTGATACTCCTCACGCAGATCGGCGGGGTCAGGGTCCAAAAACACATGGGATTTGCCACATATTTTAGATTCGGTAGCAACCCTCACGCAGATCGGCGGGGTCAGGATCCAGAAAACACAAAAAGGACTTGCCACATTTCTTAAATTTGCTGGCACCTCTCACGCAGATCAGCAGGGTCAGGGTCCAAAAACACAAAGGTTTTGCCACATTTCTGACATCCGGTGGCACCCCTCACGCAGATCGGCGGGGTCAGGGTCCAAAAAACGCAAGAAGGATTTGCCACAGTTCTGAAATTCGGTGGCACCCCTCACGCAGATCGGCGGGGTCAGGGTCCAAAAACATAAGGGATTTGCCACATTTCTGAAATTCAGTGGCACCCCTCACGCAGATCGGCGGGGTCAGGGTCCAAAAACATAAGGGGTTTGCTACACTTCTGAAATTCGGTGGCACCCCTCACGCAGATCGGCAGGGCCAGGGTCCAAAATCACATGGGGTTTGCCACATTTCTGAAATTCGGTGGCACCCCTCACGCAGATCGGCGGGGTCAGGGTCCAAAAACATAAGGGGTTTGCTACACTTCTGA